GGCCCTCGCTCTGCGTGTTGTGGAGAGTACGTGCGTGGGATGATGGTACTTACAGGAGGCTGCAGGTGCAGTTCAGCACTGAACTTGAGCACCTGTAGCAGGAATTTTAGTTGTTGGGTGTTTTATGATAAAAGATGTAAGGCTATTCCTTCTTTAATTTACCAGGTAAGTCACTTTAATGTCTGAGGTGCGCTAAAGCCTCCATAGACAAAGCACTCCCTGTATTTATGGAGCAGACGTTTTCCAGAGCCAAGAAAGTAACAGGTTTGATATTATTTCTTAAAAATACTAGCAGCAATTGAACTGTTTCATTGGCTCACATGACCTGCCAATTTTCCTTTGTTTGAAATAAGGTTGGTTTATACATATTTCGAGGGGATAAAAGTTGTTCCCAGGCTGAAAGTCACCATGCCAAGTTACAGGCTTTTATCAATAAATGTTATGCAAACCTGAAAGTTTACAATGAAAACACTGACAGAATTTGAGCGGTACCAGAACCCGTAAGTTACTGCTTTAAATGGGTTGGAGTGATGAGGTGGTTACGCTGCAACACCTTTATGAATGCGACGCGTTGATGACAGTTGCGGGACGTTGTGGCAGCAAGGACTGGGTCAGGCTGAAGAACATAATTTCTGGAGAGTGTGACCAGCAAGATCTCTCTGGAGGGCCGAGATGGCTGGTTTGCACAGCAGCGTTTGTCAGCTGCGATGCGCACGGGGTTTTGGTGGCAGGCGGGCAGTACCGCGCATCGGGTCACTGTCAAGAGCCTCTCCCATTGAATACTGGTTGCAGATGCTGGAATTGTGTGTTCTTGCACTTAGGGCTGCCGTTTGTGCAGGGTTTGGGGTGTCCTTGCACTCCTCCAGTTACGTAAACATGCTCAAGTTGCAGTTTTTGAACAGATCTGTAGTTGCCAGTGCTGCCCAGAGAGCAGCGAGAAATACGGCAGATACTACAACTTTCCATTTAAATCGTGTGATTCCTGTCTCAGCCATAGGGTTTTTCTATTTTTTTTCTCACAGGAGAAGTTGCTAGATTTCCTCAAGTAGTTCTATTCTGAATAGTAATTCTGGGTGAGATACTGAGGAAACGGGAAGCTGTAGTGGCAGAAACACACACACCTTTATTGGTGTACACTTTTAGAAGTGCAGTGTTTTCTTTCAGACTATTATCTGTTCATGCACCTTTCTGGTATTTGGGGTTTTAATGTTTTTTTTAATGTTTTTGTTAAGGCACTCTAGGTACACTTCAAGGAAATTTTTTAGGTCCAAAAGACACAGATGAGTACCTCTGCTCTCAGAAACACAGGGTATTTATGCACCTCAGCAAAAACCACATCTACATACCCGATAGTGTGAACCTGAAAGGGTACCTGTAGTGAGGAACGAGGATAAGAGTAATTCTGTAAAACATGTGATGGCACTTGTAAGAGTTTTTTCAATCAAAGTTGGTAAATAATATGACCGGTAATACCTGAACAACTTCCTGAGGTCAGTGGGTCGGTGATCTGTTTGATTACAAAACTTCTGGCTTAAAACTGGTCAACTGATTCACAAGAATCCCGTGAACTGCGAAGCCAAAGCCAACCAATTAACAGCGTTAACTGGTTTTAGTGTGCATACAGTCAGCTGAAATGATTCTCCAGCGCTGAGCTTTGTCGGAACAGTGAGGAACCGGAGTGTGCGCCTCAACCTTCTGACACCATCTCCAACCTCTTTGTGTCTTCATTCAGCAGCGCTCTTCCCTGCTGTGACTAGTAGACGTGAGGGCATTTCTCTCTTGTATTGCCTTTGTGTGCTTATTAAAAAAGAATCAGCAAATCTGTTGAGCGCCTGTTTAACGTAACACAGATGTGGGCACACCACCCGTTCATTCTGCTTTGCAAATCTGCAGCTTTTCGTATTTCATCAGTGTTGCTTATTATTTACAGAATCGTAACTTGAGACAGTAGAACAAATTTTTAGATTGAAAAAAAATCAAGTCGTGTGGAATGTTTTTAGCTGTCCAGCCCAAACAGACCTGTTTGCCAAGGGGCTGATGGCCTGAATGCAGTTCATGCTGGCTCTAGTGGCACTTAACTGGAAAGCAGCTGACCTCCTTATCACCAAGATGAGAATTCACTTTTGTCACCAGGATGAGCAGTTTAGCATGGAGGGGACTGTAAGCACTGTACTGTTACGTACTTCTTCCATTTTAAACCAAAACCAACCTAAAACCAACCCACAGCCAAAGCCACAACTCGGAAATTGCCGAGCCCTCCAGAAACGCACTGTGGTGCCTAGGACTTTCTCTCTGACCTGTGTCTAAGCCAGACATCAGAAACCAGTGTTCACTGATACTCTGGTTTCTACGGAATAGGTCTGGCCCTGTTCCTTCTTCCTCCCTTTTCCAGCAGTCTCGCTTCCACGGTACTACAGAAGGTAGCACAGTTGAGTGTGTCTCTAAGACGGTTCATTCCAAAACCTCCCTGCAGTGTCATTGCTCGCTCCCGTACGGATGCTTCTCTGCCTTTCCTGAATGCGTAAAAGGAAAGTGTCTAAAAAGTTACTGACTGGCCAATAGTTCGTTAAAAACTGTATGTTATGCTTCAGACATTCACTTTTTAAACTTGTTTAACTTTTGAAACTTGGTTTAACAGCCAATGGGGGCTTCTTGGGAAAGTGAAATTTTGCCATAGTCCTGCTTTTGGAAGTTGGGAAGTAGGACAACCGGCAAGATGTGAATTACACTGGCTGGAACTCTTTCATTTCTTTGGAACTATGCCTCAACACTTTGCATTTCATGAAGGCAAACGCATACTTTTGGTTACTAGTTAGTAAGAATCTAATAGGTCAAAACAGGCGCTTATTTGTTCCCCTCTGGAGTAGATTCAGAAAGATAGCGATCCTGTCACATAACTACCTGGTACAGAGGAATCCTGTGTATATCTAAAAATCCAAGGGGCAGGAGAGGTCACCGTACTCCAGAGTCACTGTGCCGCGTAGTGAGGTTCGACCCACTGCATACCGCTGTTACTCAGTGGAATCATTTCAAGCCCTGCATAGGTTGTGGAAGTCATCTCTTTACCAGTGTTTAGGTTATCCTGATCCAGAGAAATGCTGCTAAAGAAGATAGTTTTGAGACATTGCACTTTTTTGCAAATGCTGAAAACTTAAGTACTTTTATGCAGCAAATGGCAGTTTTCATAGTGACATTTTTTAGCTGGGGTGTATAACACTAACTAATGAACATCTAACTGAAACAGAGAGCAGTGCAGCCAGACAGGTAAAGCAGTGAGAACATCTGTCAGCAGAGGTAAAACTGAAAATTTGACTCTTAATATTTTAGTGACACTGTTAATGACAACATTCGTTATGGTTTCTTAAGCCCTTGCTCTGTTCTGCATTCTTTTAGTTGGAGAATTTCCATTCTTCATCCTCTCTGCTGACAAACTGACTTTCCATCTTAGCATAACCATAGTTTAGCTGAAGTGAAGTCAACACCTTTTGTCTCTCCTGAGTTTCTCTCAGAGAATCAGTGATAAGCACTACTTGTGTGCCACTGTAATTTGTTACGCAGGCCAGGGGTGTAATAATCTCATTAGCGAAGTCAGAGCTTACCAGATATCATAAGAGATTAACAATATCAATTGGCTGGTGTTTTTCTCTGCCGTCCTGGAAAGGCAGAATCTTTGACTTCTGTACCTTGTTTGCAAAACACGTTGTCGATGCCAGACGGAGCAACGACAGCCAGAATGCACGGAGAGGCCAGTCGCCTGACAGGAGAGCAGCAACGATGATACGAAGTCATGAACGACACGCAAGAGGTTCTGTTCCTGTAACATTGACTGCAGCCAAGAAGGGAAGGGGCAAACACAAAGTCTGTCACCGTTAGAAGGCAAGGGTGTCAAAGAGGAGAAGGAAGACAAATTTTAAAAGGGTGCATGGGTTTCCAGCCTGGGACAGGACTGCTGAAAGGGAAAGGTAACAGAGAAACAGGGCTCCAGAGAAAACATCTGCAGAAGGCAGTGCTCGTGTGTGCTGTTGCCAAGCAGCTTAAAAAGAAAGTGTGTTGTTACATGGGATTTTTTCCCTGCTTTTTGATCAAAAAGCTTAGAAGCAGGTCACTGTGGAGGCTGGTTACAAAGCATCGGGATGGGAAGTGGAGAGCGCTAATCAAAAATGGGGCAGTTGACTTGGAAAATTGCTAACAGCAGTAGGCTGAAAGAGAGATGAAACAGCATGCAGCAGCCCCGGAGTGATGGTGCTGGGAAAGGACAGCGAATAAAGCAGGGCTAGGCAGCCTGTAACACAACTCTTTGGGGGTAGGGCGTTCCAAAAGCTTAAAGGAATTCGGAATATTATTTTTCAACAAAATACTGCTACGGGAGGAACCTGGCCTGCAGTTCTTTAGCACTGTGGCCAGTTACCAACCTCTGATGTCTGTTAGGCCACACGTGTGTGTCTTTTGTTATTGCCATATTTTAATAGATGCTCGAGAAAGGTGAAGTGTGCTGAACCCTACTACAGAGACTGTAACTGTGGATTTTCTTTTGTCAGAACTTAGCTGCATGTGCCTACTTCCATAACCCTTCGATTTTCAAACTACTGGCACTGCCCATCAGTGTGAGCTCTACCTGTGTCGATGCACTCGGATGTTCTGTACAGAAAGGAAAATGAACAGTCAGATCAGCAAAACTCTGCTAATGAATAGATCCCAAGATCTGCACACAGCATCCTCAGTTTAGGTTGCCCTTCCTCCTATTAATTTAGCACACTGTCCCTTAATTGTCGATGACAACTGGGAGGCATTTTGAAACGTAGAACTCTGAATAGACAGCACGTCTGCCAGCTCAAGTATTGCTGAATCTGTAGGCTGTATTTGTGAAGACCTTGTCAGGTAAAGGCTTTGTCACACCTCGTGTTTCAAAGTAGAGACGGCTTTGTGTGCTGACAGGTTTAAGTGGAAGGAAAAGCACCGCTCCTGCACTAAGTCACTTCTCTCATCTCTTCTGCACGTAGGACACAAGCGGAGAGAGTGAGAAAGCCACGCTGCTGTAGAGGACCTCAAGGGCTCTTGCCCCGCTATTTAGAAAGTCAAGCAGAAGGACAAGAGCAGCTGTTCAAACTGACGGACAACATCCAGGATGAGTTGTAAGTACTGACTTCCACAGTCACTCTCGGTAGTTCTGCTTGCTGCCACTTCATGTCTTTGGGGAAAGGGTCTAAAACTGTTGTACACACGTGTGTGTACACACAAGTGCACATACATTTGGTTGTTTCCTCTTGGTACCGATCAGCAGCACAGCGTGAGCACCTGGCTGCTTCCAGGGCGGCCTGTCCGCAGGCATCCCCGCAGGTGCCACAGGGCGCCCTTGGTGCGCTTGTCGCTGACAGCCGTCGATCGCACGTCTGTGCGGGCTGCGGAGGAATCGGAGTCTGGGTTTGCTGACCCCTGCTCCTGTTAATGGCCCTGGTCCCCTTTGATCATGGCAAAAGATGAAATCTCAGTAAGTTCCTAAGTGGTCATTAGTCTGTTTCACAAGCGTAATACATGTCCAACCCCCCACGTGCAGTGATGCACAGTCGCGTGTTTTAACCCCGTGCGCTTCTTCCCCTGTAGCACACCTAGAGGCAGAGCTAGCAGCTCTTCCCTTACCGGCAGTTTCTCACCGCCCAGAGCCTAGCAGAGCGGAAGTGAGAAGAGCCTATAAATGTTGATAGTGGTCAGGGCTGAGAGCATGACAGACCCCACGTGCAGAGTGAATTCATGGGAAGAGAGCGTGCACGTGTTTCTGCAGGAGATGTCAGCTTGTTGCACTGGGGTCTGAAGGCTTAACCCGATCTCTGCCACAGGTACCGAGCAGCTGTTTTCGGTGGAGACTGTAAGACGCTGTGCTTTGCACCTATTACCTGTCAGCCAGAGTATCTGCCGAGGCAAAGTAGTTGAAACTGTTGATGGTGAAGCTCGTAGAGGGAGGTGCCAATTCCACAGGGCACCTTAATTTCACCAGCGAGGGTCGGCCGGCTCTGAAAGCCATGTGCCACTCCGGATTCTGCCTTCAGCCGCCTGGGAGGAAGTTTGTAATCTGCCACTCGCTTGCAGCCCTGTGGTCTCACACCCGTTACCCTGTTTTCATCTCATTTAAGGGTCTCTGGGCACGTACGGTCTGGCTCTCGGGCGGGGAAAATTGAAAGAGAGCGATGTGTGACCAAAACCAACTGCCAGCTTTTTGCAAGTGTACCCCATCAGCAGATCAGTGGGCTTTTGTCATCACGTCACACTGCTCGTTCGTTGTGACTTTTGCCGTTAGGAACATCATTCAACAAGAAAACAGTGTTTCTTTTCATGGAAAACAAGTACAAAATTATGCCTCTGACTTTTATCCCAGTATCATAATCAGAAACACATTTAAAGACCTGATTATTTGCATATTTTCCTTCAGAATTAAATCCATAAAAGGGGGTTTAATACCTTGCTCTACTGTTGTAACTAAATGTTTCCACATTTTTTTCCAGTTAGGCTCACTGTTTCACTTCTGGAAAATATTGTGTAATTACTTCCTGATGTTGTTAAAAACCCCACAAACTCTCCAGAGATCTGGTTGCTTCTACTTTGTTCTACTGGATTGTGTTTCATTTAATTCTTCACTTTATTCATTTGTGATCTTTTCAATAGTGTACAAGTATGGGTTTAAAAAACAGTCGCTCGAAGTAGTATCTTAGAAGGTGTAATACACATTTTGAGAACTAGACAGAGCGAAGAAAGCAACAGTTGGCAAGAGAAAATGGATAATGATGCGTGACTCAAACTTAGAACAAAACGTAGAGCTTGAACTACAAATTAGCTAATGTTTCTGTGCTTCACCATTAAATCACTGACCTCTGGTTCCATTCCTCAAACTATATACATGATACCAGGAAAAACCTTGCATGGAAAGTTAGACATAGAGCCTGTGGTTCTCAGGGAGAAAGTACAGACCCGTGGCCTGATCACCCAGTTGCTTGCACTGAACTTTGCAGGAGCTCGTAGCATGTCGGGTCTCTCCGTGGATGTCCCCCATGCAGCGGGCTGTAATCCCTACATTGGGAAAACAGCCCTTCTGCCTTTGTGGGTACACAAAACCTTCTCAGGGTTCTTGGCTTCGCCGTGACAGTTGATACAGCATTAGTGGTTTGGGATAATCACCTTGAATCTTCTTTCCCCACCGGAAAACGAGCAAAGAAAGCCAGTGTGCCAGCAGGTTTCCTCTGATTCCGCCTCTAGTGGAAGTGTGACCCCAGACAAAGCTAGGATCTCTGTAAAATACTGACTGTGCTTTTTTGTGCCTGAACTAAGGAACAAGGCTGCTACTCTGCAGGCTGTGATGCTGCTCTATTTTAAAATTAGGTTTTCTATGACACTTCATTAAAAATATCACCCTCCATCCTACTTAACTTCAAAGACAAAACCTTTCTGTGAAGTGTGTGAACTCTGATGGAAAAGTGAGGGGCAGTTTCTAGTTTCAGTAACCGTTTTTAACATTGTCTTTCACCTAGGCGCTTTTTTTTTTAAGCTGAAATACACATTTTTGTCTGTTTTTGTTTACTCAAAAGGAACACAATTCAGTGATCCTATCCTGCAGTTTTAGCCAAGGTTAGGGCTGGGCAAAATATATTACAGGCCTCTTTTTTTTTTCTTCTCAGTAGGTGAATGAAAGTGTAAGTTGTGAACTTGTTTAAGCACATGTGCCCTTCTCAAGTTTACGTCAGCTGACACGGCTGGGAGGCAGAGAGCAGGGACAGGACAAGTGCAGTGCAGAATGCCATCTTTCAGGGGACCAATAGAAAATTACTGGAATTATTCTTTTATACCACAAAAAGAAACAGTGATCTGATCTCTTGGAATATTTTTGGCTGTTAAAATTCCATTTATAGCTATAGCTCATTCGACTGTAGCTCAGGAGTAACTTGGGCAGAGCGTTACTTCACTGACAGAGCTGACCCGACAGTAGTGGCAGAGATGATACGCTTTACTGATCTGCCACAAACTCTTAATACTGACAATCTTCATCGATTTCAAAGACAGCGGAATGTTTTGCAGAATGTATTAGAGCAGCAGACAGGTTTGTATCAGCAGTGGTTCAGAAAGTAGCAACTCTCAACCTCCCCGACAGCACGAGAGTCTTGGTTTTACAGATAAGCTGCTGTGGGTTACTGACAGAGCATTATACTCTATTTGGCACTCTCTTAGTTATGATTTTGAATTTAAACTTCTGAATTTTTCACCATTTAAAAAAAACCACTAACGAGGTTTGTTTCAGCAGTAAATCAGAAGTGGGGGGGAAGCGATGGTGTGTGAAATACCTGTTTCACTCTGCATGCCGTACTGTTGTTGTGTTACACATCAACCTTTTCAGCCATCAGAACTCTCTGTTCTTAACGCACCGTTTTCTACCTCTACTATTCATCACTCAGCCTAATCTCTCTGGGGAAACCTGCTTGCTGCTTAACCTTTCACCCCAGTGTTAAACAGCTAATTTCTCTTTTCTAGCTACCGACCCAGGCAGCAGGTTAAACTGGCAAGGGAGGTGTGAGGTAAAAGGAAGCACGGTGGGTTCACGGTGCGTGGAAGGGTAATGCTTTTGTCCTAAATGCCTGCAAACCCTTCACATCTCAGCAGTGGAACCCAAGGTAGATACTGCTAAACTTCGGTATTAGGACACAAAGTGTTCCAGCACAAGGAAATTACCCTTCTTAAGGCTTGTTAAAGGGTATTTTTAGGTGCCCTTTCAACGTCCAAAGCTAGAAGCGAGGCATTTAGCGCTAATGCTTGATTTACCACATCATTTTTTTCTAACTGGGTGAGAGGGTACTTCATCAGCTTGATTTTTAGAACAGTTCAAATTAAATACAGATGAATTGTACATGCTACGCTATTAATTCTTCCGAAAGACTTCTAAAGGTCACTCAAAATGTAACAGGTGAAGACATCTGTTAGTTTACTATTTTTACCTTCAAGTGAAAGATTTTCCCTTTTTTCTTCTTTGCAGCTTCATAGCAGTGGAGAACATAGACAGCTACTGTGTTCTCATTTCATCTAAAGCTGTGTATTTCCTGAAGAGTGGGGATTACACAGACCGCGAGGCCATCTTCCTTGAAGTCAAGTATGATGATCTCTACCACTGCCTTGTGTCAAAAGACCACGGGAACGTGTACATACAGTTGACGAAGAAAGCTGTTAATACAAGTAGTGGTGTGGCAATGCCAGGCCCATCACAACAAAAACCGATGGTAAGGGTCTGCCACCCGTGCGGGTGTTTCTTTTCCCCTTTGTGCGTGTGCTGGTGCTGAAAGTGTTCGTGGTCAGTACTGTTTGGTTTCCTGTGCTGTGTAACAATGACAACTTTGTTCTGTCAGCAGTGAAAATAGCTGCTGCCAAAAAGGTTTAGGGGAGAGTAGAATTTGTGAGTCCAGAGGAGGCCGCTGAGCTGCTCCAAGGGCTGGAGCCCCTCTGCCATGGGGACAGGCTGGGAGAGTTGGGGTGTTCAGCCTGGAGAAGAGAAGGCTCCGGGGAGACCTTATAGCCCCTTCCAGTACCTGAAGGGGCTACAAGGAAGCTGGGGGGGACTTTTTCCAAGGGGCTGTAGTGACAGGACAAGGGGTAACGGGTTTAAATTGAAAGTGGGGAGGTTTAGACTGGATATCAGGAAGAAGTTCTTCCTGGAGAGGGTGGGGAGGCCCAGAGATGTTGTGGATGCCCCATCCCTGGGAGTGTCCAAGGCCAGGCTGGATGTGGCTTTGAGCAACCTGGTCTAGTGGAAGGTGTCCCTGCCCATGGCAGGGGGGTTGGAACTAGATGATTTTTAAGGTCCCTTCCAACCCAAACCAGTCTGTGATTCTGTGATTACAGGGGTTTTTTGCTCATTGCAACTAGTTGCTCAGGGGTCTGTTGTACAGGCTCACCCCTGACCCAAGTCAGTTTACATTCCAAACAGACAAGCCAGATAAAAGGTAGGAGAGGAAGCAAAAGAAGTAACTTCAAATATTACAAGATGTTCCTGCTCTCACTCTAAAACAACCCATCTCTGTTCACCTGTCTCACTTCTTCCTAACTTGAGCCTCAGCACTGAGAAAGAATCCCCGCAGAAACATTCCCATTCCTTACAGCAGACTTCAAACCTCATCCCTTCAGTCAGTGAAGTAATAAACAATAAATGTGTTCTGCTTTAGGGGACAGCAGCACCACGTTAAGAAAACTCACGTTTCTTTTTGCAGGTGAAAGTGAAATCTGAAGTTCTTGCCGTAAAGCTGTCTCAAGAAATAAACTATGCAAAGAGCCTTTATTACGAACAACAGCTTATGTTAAGACTCAGTGAAAATCAAGAACAATTAGAGCTGGACTCTTGAAACCTCTTCCTTACTGCCAGAGTGACTGCAAGGACCAGTCTGGAGCCAACGCTGCTCTGTAACTAGAGAACGTGCCACGTGGGAAGGAGATAAAGATAATCTTAGTATTTAGCAAAATGGAATCATTTTGCGTAAGAAAACAAGTGAGGTGGGCTTTTTTTCTTTTTTTTAACGCATTAATTGTGTATCAAAGAAATAACTGAAATGCAGTTTGTGCTGGGAGAAGCCCTGTATTTTGCTAACATGTACATATGTAAAAGTGTTCCATGTAAATAAGAAAGTACAAATCAGGGTGTTGGTATAAATACAAGTCTGTTTACTGTGTAAAGAAATTAAAGGAGCTATACTGAGTCTTACTGCACTACCTGAAACTAGCCACTCTCTCTCTTTTTTTTTCTTGAGAAAGGTGATTTTCACAGTGCAGGAATGTAGTTAAATGCGTTTAAAAATCAAAAAACGAAGCGTTAATTGCAGCTGTTGGAGCACAGACATCTTGCAGTGTGGAGCTTTAGCACTGGGATTCGGGTGCATTGTTTGGGGGTGTTTTCTGTAAATCACTAGTGCAGCTAAACGTATGTATACCTGGTGTTCCACTGAAATTTCACCCTCGTTTTTAACAAAAAAGGCGTTTTGTTAAACATTGAAGTGGGGACTCACTAATTCAATTCCACTTTTAACATGTTAGGAAACAAGAAGCTGTTTCTGTTCTGGATTCACTCAAACCTAGCGAGGTCTGCACCTCTGAAGGTTGTGTTCAAATTAGTTCAGGGGAGCAGCCCTGGAAATGGAAATCCTTAACTTCAGTTTTCCGCTTCACTTGGACGAAGTAGGGGTATACAGTCGGCTGGGTGGTGTGGAATTCTGCCAGCATTAGGAAGGCCGGGGGCTGGGGGGGAGGAAATCACGGCAGCGTTTGCCTTCATTACAACCTCTTCAAAATCCAACGTGAAAGAAAAAAAATAATGTGCTTTTTCAAATGTTGTACCTCGAATCAGTCTCATCAACTTCAACCAGCTGAAGACTGAGGAGTGAGTGTCCTTCCCTACCTTTACTGACAGCGACTAGGAAATCTCGTTTTCACGTGGGCTCCCTGGAGATGGCTCAGCAGCCGTGCGGAGCGTCAGCAACTGCTGAGAGTCTGCGCTCTAGAAGCGTTCGTTCATAAACCTTAACTCAGAGTACGGAGCCTTTAGTATCCCTTGGTAACTCTTAGGGGAGTATTCACCCCTGTGAAGCAAGAGGCAGAGGATCGTTGCGTAAGGAGAAAACGTGGGATCAGTGGATGAGTCTGTGACTGGAAATCAAAATCCATAAAGGTCCGTTACACAAATGAAACTGATCTAACACGTCGCTCACGGACGCTTCGCTGTGTAATTTGTAAGTAGAAGGTAGAGTTCAACGAGTGCGTTGGCTCGGCAGTGCTTTAACCCGTCGTCCTGGTGGACTCTGCTACCAGGGCTGGCTGCTTCTGTGCCCTGTGAAATTCTTCCGTAATGCCAGGCATCTGCCTGCCGAAGGGGAAGGAAGGGTAGACGTAGTTCAGAGCTCTGTGTGGAGAGCTGACCGCAGGATGACTTGAGTAGTTAGGTTCGGTGAGGATTACGTGAGGAGCGGGGGTGCAGGCACCCGCAGAGGGGTTCGATAGCGCACCCTCTGAGGTACCTCAGCGCGGGGCGCCGCAGGAGGTCACCCGTCTGACCTCTGCGTTCGGTTCTTTTGGTGCTTAACCTGGTTTTGACTGTTGATAACGATTAACCAAAACATCATTTAAACCTTCGAAAAGTGGACCCGCTAGCCCAGGGGTGCGTGAGGACCATGGAGCACAACTGCGGGTGTGTTACGACCCTGGTCCTGACACGCTCTGCTCGTCTGCGGACCAGGCCGAGCTCTCTTCGGGGCAGCACTGCTCGGGGGGAGCGAGACACAGACACCGCTGAAAGCAGCATATTGCCTCAGTTAGCATTCCAAAACAAATTGAATCAGAACTTTGGGGGTTTTTAAAAGCACAAATGATGTTATTTATTGCCGTAACCCAACTACTTTTATATCATTTCAGAACTCTTACTGTGGGCTTCCTATTGCTACTGGCACTACTAACATTATTACTCAGTGCATAAATATAACTCTCAGATTCCGGGAGCCATACTCAGAAATAGTTTTTCAGAGGATGTGGAGAGTAAGTGCAAGTCTCCAGCTTTCACTGAAATTTTTAAGAACTCAAACACAGGCTGTAAGCAGACAAGACAACATAATAGTTCCGTTTACCAGGTTCTGCAGAGCTCTTCAGATCCTGAGCCTTACGAAGACGGTGTGCTCAGCACCCTTGGCCTGGTTTCACTGGAGGAGGAAGGGCTGCTGCAGCAATGAAAGCGGACCCAGTCTGCAAATTTCAGAAGCTGGGGGAGAAAAAAAGGTCGCTGATGAGAAACAGTAACGCAGCTTTCCCTCCCCTCCCACTGTCTTTAGATCACAGTCAGTGCAGTTCAGGAACGACAAGGCTTTTCCAGGCCTCTCTGCTCAAGCCTTACAAAGAGGTGTTCACCCTCACTCTAATAAGGATTGAGCAGCCTGTCGCCAACGCAGGGAGCGTTTAGGAAACGGTAACCCGTGCAGTGGTGTGCTGAGGCAGAAACACTTCAGCCCGTGAGCTTTGTTATCTTGCTGAGGACTGTACAACCTGTTCCCTGCCACCCCTGACTAGGCTGACTTTGTTTTCTTGCTGGAGTTGTTGCTGAGGAATAGTAGAATAAGTATTGTTGACATAAGAGTCATGTCACTGTGATTCTGGAGCAGTGCAATAAACGGAGTGCACCCACACTTTATGTGCCCTTGCTTGCAGAACTGTGAATTATGTGCAGGAACAGAAAATGACTGTAGAGGACAGGAATGAAGGAATCTCCAAGCCAGAGAGACATGCAACCCTCAAGACCCTTCTTACATCACGTAATTCCAATGCTTGAGGTAAAGCCTGGACAAGCCCCTGGAATGTCGGTTGGCGCTGTAGGTCAGACCCAGACTTGCACTGCGTTTCTCCGACCTGATGCTCGGGCGATCTGCATTCGAGACGGTCTCGTTTTCCAGAAGTCATTTAAGAGTGGGAAAACGAGATGCTAAGGTATTTAAACTTCAAAGGAAAAGCACATACTGTAAAGTAAAAAATCCAGACGTTCCTCTTACACATCTGGATGACCAGCACAGCTAAAAAATGCGTTGGTGCTGTGGAACACCTCATGGTACGTGTCACCTACCCAAGTCATACGGCAGAGTAAAACCAAACAATGCACTTCCCAAAAAATTACACTTTAGGTATTACTATGATTTTATGTGGGAAAAATGCATCCTAGTGTGTCTAACAGCCAGAACCACACGCTTTGCTGTCACTAAAATAAGACAGACCTGTGACTGAATCAGGGAAGCGAGTTTTTAATACGTGACGTCGGCAGCACACAGGTGGTGACGTCATTCTGTTCCAGAAGCCGTTCTGGATGAGCAGAACTACAGAAAGCCATTCTGTTCCGCCCTAACTCCGCATCTGCGTGGCTGCCCTGTGTCTGACAAAGCAATCACAGCATGGAGAATCGCCTCTTTGGGTCACGCTGTTTTGGGCGCTCTGATACGGCTGTAGCCGACTGGAACCTGACGTGGCCACTCGGAGACCTTTTGGCCAAGGAAAGAGGGTTACTGGCAAACGAGCTGGTGCTGCAGGAGTCTAAAGATACGGGAACCGGTGCATAATGTGGCTGCCGGAAGGGGCAAAGCCCACAGCACTCGACACCACCCGATTCTGTAGTCAGATGTAATTCCTGGCGACAGCCCTGAGCTGGCAGTAGGATCTAGCACGGTACAGCTGGGAGGAGCAGATGCGGTGTCTGCCCGCTTGCTGCCTCTGGAAGAATAGGAATTAATTGCTTTCTGCAGTCACAGACTAAACTGGAAACGTTTGGTAACATTCAGAGACTTCATTCAAACCAGGGGTGAGGTTCTACATGCACTTACACATCTCACGGTGGTACGAGCGGGCTGAAACAGACCTTTTGTTACAGTCATGACTGGATCATAAACGATTCCATTACCTGCTTCAACTGGGCCATTTACAACGGAAGTCTGGGCAGCAAACCAGGCGATACAAAACGAGGTGTGCCTGAAATGAGGTAACCGGGGTGCAAGATGTGAACTCCATCCCTCCCTTCCTTCTGCTCCTGAATAGATTTCCAATAAATCAGCCAGATGGTACTGTCTAACAGCTGAAGTTGTGACTGCTGTTTACCAAAAAAGCGCAGCGCTTACATTTTTGTGGAGAGAATGTAAGTGGCTAAACGGTCCACAGCTCAAAACAGAAAAATAATCAGCGTTTCCCTGTGACGGGGTTCTGACCTATTTGCTGTCCTGTTTCCTAGACTGCATGATGGTTTTCAGCATTTATCTATTTTCTCATCAACAGAATACTTGCTTTCGAAGATCCTAGGCCAAAATATATGTAATTTTTCAACTTCCTCTTTTTTTCTCTGTAACACAGCTTAGCACTGACCTGTTCCCTACAGTGCACGACCCACCAGATGACAACTCCTCTAGGAATAGCCTTGCTTGCTCTGCTTCTCCTGGGGAGAACGTGCCTCTGTTTGCTGATCACAATGATTTCACCGCTGCTGCCTGGGTCTGAAAAACCGGGTTTCGAGGATTATGCTCTCTTTGGGTTACAGGCTGCTGCGAAGATACTAAGAAAACAAAACCAAAACACATTTAATTAAGCCAACAGTTGCTCAAAATCCACGGTTTCTTACAAGAAGTAATGCTCTGTGTGAGTGCATGCGTATATACGTAGTTTTTAATACACGTATGTATTCACATCCGTATTCATACTTCTTTTTTTAACTTAGCTGGAAGCATGGTGGCCATGCTCCTAGAGTAATGCTCTGTGTATGTGCATGCTTATATACGTCGTTTTTAATACACGTACGTACTCACATCCATATTCATACTCTTTTTTTAACTTACCTGGAAGCATGGTGGCCATGCTCCTAGCACCTCTGTTAAAAGCATAGCTGTACAGTGCAGGAACACGTAGTCTTATTTTTCAGGGGTGGTGGGGCCATCCAAACGATGCCCAGAGC